ATTATAAGTGAATTTATTATTATTTTATTAAGGACAAAACGTGTGAAATTTACTTTCCTAAGCTCAATAGAATACGGTTGAATGTAAATGAATTGTGAAATATCTCGTTAATGGGTATCAAAAGAATTTATCAAAATTAATTTACATATCAATTATGATAAAGCTCTTGTATTATGTTGAAGGTATTTGAATTCTAAAATATAACTATCACGAAAAATTTGCAAAAATTTTTCCACTGGTATGAATAAAGTCTACTATTATATCGAAATTTAAGTATTGTGTTTTGCAAGTACTATCACTAAATTCATTTTGATTTATCTTATGATAAATTACTTTTGTATTGTACAAAGAGGTCAACCTATAGTTCAAATGTAGTTGTGGCTTCAACTGGTCTTTCACAACGCGATTCATCGTCGGCTTCAAAATTCTGAATCTAAGTTTTGAACATTGATTCTGGCGTATTGTCAATATATCTTCTCTCTAATTTATTGTTATTTTCATCACTGCAGTGAAAATAAAATTTTTCATAAGCAATCCATACTTAAAAGACCCTTAAGGTGAACCTATAGTCCAGATGTAATTGTGGCTTCAACTGGTCTTCCACAATGCGATCCATATTCGCCTCCAAAATTCCTAAATCGAATTTTTGGACAATGATTCTGGCATATTGTCAACATATCTTCTCTCTATCTAATACATTGTTATACTTATACAATGTAATACATACTTATTTTCTGTATCTTGAACTCAGTTCCAATATTTGTCTTCTTATTTCTATGCTTCTATGCCCCCTGAAAGGTCCTTAAAATCCAAGAGTTACTATGAAGCATCATTTACTTTATTACTATCAATATCAATTGGATATTGTTTCGAATGGATTACTTTATCAACTTTCAGAACGCATAAATATTATGAGGCTTATGTGATTTTTTTTATTATTTTTGCTATAACTACCTCGGACAGCCTGATATCAAGCAGTAAAGATATGTTTTCACTCGAAAATGTAGATAAAATAACATTTTAAAGATTTGTTTTCAAGTAAAAATAGCTCTTACCTAAATAGGTGCATCTAATTAATAATCATTCCGTCTCCGACCTTTGAAGAGTTAACACGTCTCCGAAACATATTATTTAAACTAATTTTGTCAATTTCTTTACTTTATAATTCCAAAATCATCATTATTAGATGATTCTTCTTCCAACCCCGGTCAGCTTGATATTAAGCAGTAAGATATCAAACGTTCATTTGAAGTTATAGGTCTCAAACATAATCTCAAGTGAAAATCGCCTTTTGTGGGCAATATTACAGTTGGAAATTTTAATATCGTTCGAAAAAATCAATAGATTTTATATATCAATTACTTCGGCTATCGATGGATTGCCTTATAATAGCGCCTAGAAATAAGCAACGCTCAAAACAGCTAACATAATACCGTGGTTTCCAATCTGTGGGGACAGAAGATCCAAATCCGGAACAAATATTGCTTTCAAAAAAACTCGGGAAATCCAGGACCGTCCCGGCCAAACTTTGCCGCATGGTCACCTTACTTTTATTAAAAATCATCAGAACATAAATAAATTCTGTAAATTATTCTATTATATATTATTTACATATTATTATAGTTAGTAGTTACCTCAGTGGGTAAAATTACTATTAAAAACAATTTATTGGATCAAGTTAATAGGCCATAATTTTTTAAGTCATCTAAATTCTGGTGCAAAAAGCAGCGGACCAACAAGTGGATTAGGATGGCTTTCGATTTGTGATGGTGATTGGTCCATCTTGTTTTTAAAAAGTCTTCAATGTATAGCATATTAAGATCATCGTAGAGAGTTTTATTTATTATCATTCTAAGTATTTTTGATTGTGTTCTCTGTACCAATGCTACATTTGACTTGCTAGAGCATCCCCAAAGCTCTATCCCATCTAACAAGTGAAGACCAATTTATTTCCCGGCATCCTGTTCCAGAATTTGTATGTTGTTTAGATATAAAAGAGTTTTCTGACGCAAGGTAAACTTTATAAGCCTTAATATAGGCACGTTAATGTGAATCTTCTACTTTGTAAAAAAAATTTGAAGCATAATTCATTTTCACATATTCTCATTAGTCCCTTCTTCTTATGCATGTTATGTTCTTTGTGAACAACTCATATTGAAATGATGAGAGAACACTTTTATAAGAAAGCAAGCAAATTTCATGAAAATCTGAGGAAATAAAAAATTACTTTCATTGAAATATTAAAGAATTATTTTGAATGAATAACAACACACTAACTTCACAAAAACGAACCATAGATTTATTTTTAGAAGCCTAATGTACCTAAATAGATGTACTATCTAGAATCATGCTCAACGCTTTCATTCAATCCGTTAAATTTAATATTTCTTGAATAACCACTCGAATAGAGTCGAAATCGCCAGTTACGTTGTTAACTGGGAGATAGAGAAATGTAATATTATTAGAGACAGTAAATTTTAAGACTAATGATGAAAATCCAAGTGCTGAGTCGTGCATGAGTTATAACATGATCTCTTGATGATAAAGCAGTATATCACAAAAGCAGATTCTATGCAGAGAGTGAAAATATTCACATTTACCAGTAATAGTTAATGTTCGAGATGTCGGCGTCGGTTTCCCTTTCTCTATTATAATCTGTATCATATATTTCACTAAATTTATCGCTATTATGATTTAGTATACTTGATACCATGGAAGAAAATACTTGCTGACAGCATTATCATTTTACACCTAAACTACCTAAATCGCCTATTAGAAAAGAGAAAACTTGCAGTAACATGGAGTAATAAGCTGCAGATATTTTTAATCCGATTACATGTTTTTATAAATATATATTACATATTTGAATGTGATTAACAATTATTAATATAGAAAGTATCAATTGTACATAAAAATTTGATCAAATGTTTTACATGAATTTTTATTTTATATTGTAAGGATTTTCAATTTACTTTTTATTATGATTTATCCATATTTCAAAGTTTTGCCATATTTATATCGATTATTATATTTTAGGCAGAGCTAAATGAATTTTAGATGAATCAGCTTTTATACTAATAGACAGTGCTGGATTTATAGTAGGGGCAATCGGGGATACTGCCCAGGGCGGCAAATTTTTGGGGGCGGCAAAATTTGGATAGTGGGAAAAAAAATCTATACAATGTAATCAACTTTTTTTTAACAACATTTTTTATTTCAAGAAATATAATTAACAAAATATAATACGATTGCAATGCAAAATTTGGGTTGAAATAAACGTTAACTAAAACTTATTATTTTGCCTTGCCTCCCTCTCCGAACGTAAATTATCAAATTGGTTAATAAGTTATCAAATTTGGCAATTTGGCTAACAATCATGTTGCCATTCATTCATGAAGAATAATCTTGAATACTTGAACTTATCTTCAATGTCGAATTCCTATATAAAACATGAAATTTGACTATTAAGGGTCCAATTTTTAAATTTGCAACTTATTTTTATACGATTGACTACACGATAAATCTAATCCGACTACAGGTTATGAAATTGTCAATGATTGTCAATTTCTTAGCCAAATCGTCAAATTTTCAAAATCCCAAAGTTTATACGTTATCTCGGAATATACCCATTCCAGTATTAAATAATATTTTGCTAAATAATTTCTGCAAATAATACGTTATACAACCTTTTTTTCGAGAGTTTCACTTTTTCCTCGTTCCCTATAAATAATAAAGAGTAGTCTGCCCGAAGGCAGGTCCATGGTATGAGAGCACCACAAAATCAATGCTTTTCTGTCCCTCTAACCATTAATCACTTTATATTCGTTTTTATGAATTTTCCTTTCCAAACTTTTGCTTCTATGCTTCCCGGTCCCTGTGCTTTGGCTTTCAGTTCTCTGTATTTTCTCTTCTCGCGTAAGTCGTCAATCATTTGCATTCTTCTTCTTCCCATTTCTTTCAATCCTTCTATTTTGCCTTCGACGACGTCTTGTAGGAGGCACCCGTTTTGCAGAATGGGTCCAATCTAGTTTCCTTTTCTTTTCAGGATTCTGCTCAGTAGAGTCCTTTCTTCGCCCACTCTTCTCAGGACTTCTTCATTTGTTATCTTATCAGTCCACTTTTTTTCCATTGGCCTCCAGCACCATATTTCAAAACTCTCTAAATAATACTTGTTTTTTCTTATGTCTTGTATGTTTCTATTCAAAATTATTTTAACATTTATTTTCCTAAATTTTATCATTATAATACTTTCTCTTTTTGAAATTGCTCTTATGTATAGATTTGAAATATCAAAATTTTACGGAATTGATTATTTTTTTTAATTAATAAGTATTATTTTGTATAATTTTTCAAAGGATTTTTGAAACCATCAGAAGAATTTTAACCTTTTTCACTCGCTAATTCCGAGATTTATACGAATTTTGCCGCCGGAGTGGCGGCATCCGAGTGGAAAGGGTTAAAACATTCACCTATTTTGAATACTAAACATTCTATTTATCATCTGCGACATTCTGTTACAACCTGTGTGATATAATTATAAGTATTTTTTTCTTTCAAGTTATGGTCAATTCCATTACATAATATTTGTTTTAAGCTATATATAGTTTTAGCTTTGTATTTTACTGTAATTAATTTAACCCTTTCCACTCGGATACCGCCGCTCCGGCGGATCAATCTCGCAATTCGCGAGTGGAAAGAGTTAACAAAGATAATTTGTTTATTCTAATGATTTTTAATCATGTATCCGAAATTTATGAAATATATTTTTAATTTAAATAAAATATTTAACCTTTTCCAATCGAATTCCGCCGCTCCGACGTTAAAATACATATCAATCTCGCAATATGCGAGTGGGAAGGGTGAACTAAGATAATTTGTTTATTCTAATGATTTCAATCCTGTATCCGAAATTTATGAAGTATATCTTTGTATGCATGTATATTATTCCCATATAATATGTTTTAAAGACAAAATAATTACATCTTGATTTATTTTTCTAGTTTGGACTTCGTCAACTGGACCTGTCCCTTCTTTCTCAATTGTGGGCACTAAACGAGTCTATTCAAGACTTCCGGCAGATGCTCCAAGACCAGGAGCAAGAGCAAGATGACGACTGTGGTCCACTATCGCCTCCTTCACCAGGATCAGCAACGCCTCCGTCCAGCAGTGAAGAATTGGTCACCGCGGACTCCAACGATGACACTTCCCATAGAGGATTGATCAACAGCAATAGCGGTTCAAGAACTTCGGTATCGAATCATAGAGATTCGGTTAATATAGGTGCTCCGGTTCCACAGAGGCCTCCAGTGGTGCCACCACCGCCCAGGCCGAGACCAGCAGCCAGGACGAGACCTGCACCACCACCTCCGCCCCCAGCTAGGAGAGGTCCAGGGAAAACTAGCGCTGTTTGACGACTGCCTAATAACGACAGACGAGTGTAAGAGGATTGATTTTTCATTAATTCTGATGAATAATAAACATAATTTCTTCACCATAAATAAATATCATAAATTTGATACGGTGCCAACTATAAAACAACCCGCACTGTTAATAACTAATTTGAATATATTTCTTCAATCAGTATACCATATAACCACTAAGAATTTTTTTGATAAAAACATTGATTACGTAATAATCATTTCTAACTGAAATTAGACAAAAAACTTATCATAATTCATCTTCCTAAATTGTTTTTGAAAATACATATGTTTATTATGGTTATTTGTGTTTGAGTCAGTAACTTATTACAAGTAATTTGTAATAAAAAGTGTTTCTATAAATATGATTGCAAAAAGTTTCAATTAATTAATTTTTTGAAACCAGACTTTTAGCAAAATAATATTATCTTTTATTTATATTATCTTTTTGATGTTTTGAGATAGGCTAATATGTAAAAGATAGAAACGATAATAGAGGTCAATTGGTCTCATTTTAAATTTTGTTGGTTTGATTGAATTTAATAGATTCAAACAACTAAACTTTTTATTACAATCTACTGTAGAATTATTGCAATGCACTTCTTATATAATTAACTGCAAAAAAATTTATTGATATAATACCAAAAACTTTGAGTAAATATTTGGAGGTTCAATATATTCAGTTAGAAGTTTATATTAGTACTTAATTTCTGATTAACTCTAATACGAGAAGTCAAAAGGTTGTAATATCAAATCTAAGGCGAAAAGTCCAAATATTGTATTTGTACTTTCTAAAGTATTGAATTGATAAATAACATAATTTACAATTATTTACACTAGAAACATTTTCAGGCAAAGATGTTTATGAAAGTTGTGGAAAATTAATACTTGTTGATCAATAGTTCTTCTTAAAAATTTTATTTGCTTATTAAAGCATCGATTTGAGAATTATAAATGTTGGTCTAAAGTTAGTTTGAATTATTAAGAAAATTATGCCTTTATCAATGACCTATAACACAATAATTATGATATATACTTGAACTGCAATCTTCAATAAAGGTTGCAAAACAAATTAATACAAGCTTTTTGTAAATATTACTAATTTTCTATTATTACTATACTGTTAGTAGGAATTATATATCCTTACTTAAATAATATATTATGAATTCATAAGTAGACTTAATTTTCTGTTTCTTTTATGCATATATATGTACAAATTTAATCTAATAAGAATATTTCTAATTTCTTTCTTTGTAAGATGATAAAACATTATACATGTAGCTTAAAATTTACTTCCTCGTATATTTGGACATATACGTGAGAAGTAGTTGAAAATACAAATTTAGTTATTGTGAAAGTATAATTTTCACATGTATAGCAATAAATTTGACCATATGAATATTTCATCAAATTTATAATCATTGGAAATAATATTAAGTATAAAAAATTTAATAAGTCATTTGTAAATGTCTCAAATATTTTCATTTTATTCATTATTTAACATTCATCATTTTATTTGTACTATACTTCTTCTTCACTATAACCACTTGTAATCAATAATCAATTGTAAATAATTTATAAGGTACTTAATAAAATTAGTATATGAGAAATAATGATAATGCAATGAACATTATGTCAATACTAGAGACATATTTATAATAATATGACTGTTTCATAATTAACTCTCTGATCTATATTCATCATATCTGGATTACTATTAGTTTCCTTGTTCGGAAACTTTAAAAAGGTTTCTTCATAAATATTGTGATGAATAATTAGTTTAGAGTTTTGAAATATAATTAGTTGTAGAATTAATTCAATATGTAAATGAGTGATTTGCAATAGCTGTAATAATACTTCTGTAATAAATAGAGAAATCAAAATTATCACTGCTGTTTTATTTATGAAAAAATTAACAGCAAATTAAATTATTTTGCAGGTGGTTCTATTAAAAACTAAATTGAATATAATGAAAGCGCTCAAGTGAATTTGCTGTTCGAAGGCTCTGCAAAAAAATTACTTACTATTCAAAGGCTGTGAAGAAGTATTTCTATTTTAAGGCTGTGGAAAAATAATTGCCATTTGAAGGTTGTGGAAAAATATTTGCTATTTGAAGGCTCTGAAAAAGTATTTACTAATCACCAAAAGCTTTGTGAAAGTAAGTTTATAACAAAACTAATGCAATAAATTTTGTTGTATTACCTATATTATACTTTACCATTATCAATTGATAAAGTACAAATATAGATTTGATTACACATAACTGTATCATAATATAGCAACTCGATGGTGATATACACTTCGTTTGAATTGAATACTATTAGGTTTGGAAGAACACGCAAGATTATTGGTAATCATGTGCTAGGTAAGTTTCCTGTAAGACTTATTATAATGGTTCTTAAGAAAAATTATGGGTATTCGAAGAAATGATATTGAGTTTTTCAAGATACTTGAAGACAAAAGCTTTGATACACAATTAGTTGAACAAGGGTTATAAGTTTCAGTCATTTATGATGTAGAATTGCAGGAATTTGACTTGAATATCATTAAGTTTGGAAGAACATACAAGATTATTGGTGCTCATGAGCTAGGTAAGTTTCTTGTAAGTTTTATTATGGTTGTCCTTAAGAAAAATTATGGGTATTCGAAGAAATGAAATCGAGTTTCTCAAGGTACTTGAAGACAAAGGCTTTGATATAGAATTTGTTGTACAAGGGTGATAAATTCCAGTCATTTATGATGTGGAATTGGAGGATTTTGAAAACTCATAATTTTTCAGAATTCTTATTTAGCTTGCATAATTTGTAAACTTTGAGAATATATCGAGACTATCAGGTTGTATTATGTGTGCTAATATAAAAATACTGAAATGGTATGCTTTAAGTATACAAACAAGGTCCCAACAATTCTGTGCACATAAAAAAGTAGATTTTATAAACGAATTATAAATTTCGCCTGACTCGTAGTCTTAGATATAAAATAATATGATTTAAGTAACTTCTCAATTTCAATATAATATTTCGCCTGAAAGACAAGCATCTCAAAATACATCAATCTATCTAAAATCTTTATTGTAGAATGCAATTCTTTATCAGTTCAACTTGCGCAAATATTTTTTTATAGTTTACAAAAAAATTAGGCCGGTGTTAAGGCGTATTCATTGAACTCTTTTTCATGTAATTCAATCTTTAGAAAAGAGTAAAAAGTTGAGGTTCAGATGCATCTTTTCGGTTCTTAAGGATTTTTGTACCTGTACAGGGGTAAGAAACCTTTCACAAGTAGTTCCAGAACACATTTTTTGTTCGAATTCTATAAAAAATAGTAATATTTTTGTAAATAATTTTGCTACATAACTATTTTGTTCTATTGGACTTTATTGTATTCATTTATAATTTTTTTATTAATAAAGATTACTAATGTGGGAATTAAACATTCAGTACTTGTCTTTTTATGTGGCGGTAGTAGCCGGAGGTGTTTTAAGTAGTTTGGATAACAAATAAGTAATTACTTTGAAATATTTTAGTCGACCGATTAGAGTTTTATTTATTTGTATAATTATTTATTTATGTTAATGAATCAACAAAAGTTTTGATTCGTCACATCGGGGTCACCAATTTGGTGGTACTTGGCTAGAACACTACCGCCTAATTAATAGAATATTAATTAATAAATAGATTTACATTAATTAAATTAGAATTATATGTTCAAATGGTAGTTAAAAATGCAGTAAATTTCTTATATTAGTGCAACGAATTATAGATTACAATTATCTTGTTTAACACGTTAATCGCCACAGTAATATCAGAAAAAAGATTACACGGGCTATGGTACCTTTATTATTAGATAATTTTGTTAAAAATGTATGAAAAAAATGCATTTTCTGTATAAGTTCCTGGAAAAACACTATTTCTTTGTCACACATATGACTGACATGACCCTAAATTAAAACTTTTTTTCTCGAAATTTCTTGTAGTAAGCCAAACAATTTTTAAGTTTTGAATCTGATATGCCAAGATTTCAAAACATAATACAAATGTATCGTTTGCGTTTCGTATACTGCAATGATAGGCATATATGTATGTCTGACATAATTTATGTAGAACTTTTTGCGTCACACAAATATGACTGACATGGCCATTAACATGGTTAAAAACAATGAACAATAAGTACTCAAGATATGGATTGAAATCTGCAATTTTGAAAATAGTTTAATTATGTTGTGTTTTTGTAAATAATTTTGCTACTCAATTATTTTGTTCTATAGACTTTATTGTATTTATTTATAATATTAATTTAATTTGGTGGTTGGCAATTTATTCCAAGATAATGTTCTTTATCTTTACTATTAGTTTTCATTAAATTGCCGTAGGGTAAGTTATAGTAATCGCTAAAAAATCGAAAATGAAAATGTTTATATATCTTAACGTTTCAAAAGTTTTTGAACATTTTGGCATACTTTAGAAAAAATGGATATATGTTGGTCTGTATGTGTGTGCGTGTGTGTGTATGTGTGAATACAAATTTTCGTCGGTGAAACATTCGATTCGTATTGATAAGGAGACGTGCTGATTAGTTTTGCAATAAGGTACGGTGCAAAAAGTGCCAAAAACGGTAACTCAGTTTTTAAGAGAACGGAGCATCCGATTTTAATAATTCAAAAAACATTTTACTTGTATTGACAAGATGAAGAACTCATTAAATTTTTGGGAAGGCAGGTGTAGCGGTTATGGACTCTCAATAAAAATAAGTTAAAAAAATGTCATTTGGCGGTCAAAAATGTTTATTGGATATATGTACATCAAATTATTAGATATTTTATAGAGATTTTAATAGTGTGTACACATTTTGTGTACATTTTTTTGGGTTCCGTACCAAGATTTTTAATTTCGGTACGGAAAGTTCCAGCAATTTGCCTTAAGGCACGATGCCATGCATCCCACTAGTTTTTTAATTTTATGAAGCATAGTTGAAGTTATGAAAATCAAATTAATTGATTTTACTTTATTGTATAATTACTATGCTATACTATAGTAGGTACTACCTTATACATAATTATTACTTTTATTAGAAAACAATTTGAAACATAAGATTAATCTTAAATAAAAATTATATATTAGTACCTAAACAAATGTTAATGCATATTTTATATTTCCTATATCAATCCTTTTCACTGCCATCCGAGTGGAAAGGGTTAAATATGAAAATTTTATTTTGTCAAGTTGTCCAACTCTGTCTCATGCGGTATGTGAACAACACACCGCTATATTTTCCTCTCTTTCTTTCACATTTACCTCCATATCTTTCATTCTTTCTCACACTCTACTGTTTTGAATTGACAGTAGTCAGCCATGTTTCTTAGCGTCTTTCATACCGCAACAACGCAAGAGCGCGTACCGTTGCTTCTTGCTGAAGAAGGAATTGTAATAATACATTTATGTACAATATAACAGTTTATTCTTTTAATATTATTTGTTAATACGTGAATTATATTGTGAAGTGTTAATAATAATAAATTACTGTGTTTTGAAATATTTGTGCAATATGTTTGATGGTAGAAAAAATCGTCATTGCCATACGGTTGTTGTTTACACGGCTTAAGAATTAATGGAGCAAATGATGTAAACGGTTCCTTGAATTATCTGGAGTATGCAAATTTTAAGGTAATACTTATTTTAAATGTACATATGATTGTAATTTGGATTGCAATTAATATTTTTATATTGTGCAAATGTTACTTTTAATGTGAATAATCACAATAATTTTAAGAAATTTTGTAGGATTGACAGGTTAAAAATTATATATGATAAAATGTATGTACTTAATATTTATAATTACAATTATATATTGCAAATATATATTCTTTAACATGTCTATAAAACAAAATTTACAAAATATGTACTGTCAAGATATGGTACTTATGTGACCTTAGGAATAAACTTCCTCATGTACCGTTTGTATAGTATAATTTGTAATTTTAATATAAAGTTATTGAATGACATAATTGATTTTTGAGTTATTTGAGAAAATCCTTAACCCTGCGGTTTCCAACCTATGGGGCGCGCCTGCTCATGGGGGCACGAGGCTGTTCCAAAATACTATTTTTTTCCAAAAATGTTGAAATGATATAAAACTAGTGGAACATGGCATCGTGTCTTAAGGCAAATTGCTGGTACTTTCCGTACCAAAAACTAAATTATTAAAAAAAACTTTGCAAAACTATTATTATTGTAAGTATTGTGTATTACAAGTATTGTAATTTTTCAAAAATTTTGAATTTTTTGAAAAAAATGGCTTTTTTGAAAAATTTGATTTTTTTTAATATTTTGATTTATTTTGAAAGTGATGCACATTTTTTTAAGCAATCGCATTGCATTGCTGATTTTGAGGCGAATATAAAATAAGCGCGTGAGCGCCGCGTATTTATCTAAAGTGTGAACATTGGTACGGAACCCATATAAATGTACACAAAATTTGTACTTATTCTTATAATCTTTATAAAATATCTGATAATTTCATGTGCATATGTCTAATATTCAGTTTTGACCGTCAAATGGACATTTGTTGGAGCTCCGGAGTTTTCACATTTGTTTCACATTTTTTATTGGAGCTCCGAAGACGCTGAACCTGCCTTTACAAAACTTTCACCAGTTGTTCCCTTCAAGTAAAATGTTTTTTGAATTATTTAAATCGAACGCTGAAATACCGTCTTTGACACTTTTTGCGCCGTATCTCCGAAACGGCTAGATCTGCCTTTGCTAAAAATGAATCAGCACGTCTCATTATCAATAAGAATTGAATCTGTTTTTGAATTATTCAAATCGGTTGAACCATCGACGAAAATTTGTATCCTCACACACATACACACGCGCGCGCTCAAACACACACACATCCATTTTTTCTAAGGTATGCCAAAATTTCAGTAACCTTTGAAACGCAAAGATATATTAAATTTTAATTTTCGATTTTTTTACGATTACTATAACTTTACCCTAAAGAGAATGAATAAATAATTATTTATTCTGTTTATGTTTACTTAACATTGCATATCATTTTGTAGTCTCATAATTAATTTCTAATATAAGTTGATAAAATTAAATTCTTAAAAAAAATTAAGGGGCGCAAGTTTATAAGAAACCCCTCTCTTTCTCGTTCTCGGTCGGTACCAAAAGGTTGGAAACCACTGCCATAAGCAGTAGTCATACAATTTAATATCTTTAAATAATAGTTTTTCTCACACACTAAATCTAAAAATATTCCCTTTATTATGAAATTTTTATTATTAACTTACTAAAGTAGAAGTTTTTTTTATCAGAAGATCCTACTTGCTAATCCAATGTTTTCTCGAATTGTTTGAGACCAATAGTAGAAAAAGTATTTATGTGTAAGTAAAATTTGGGCTTTTCATCGATGTTTTCTTAAAAAAACCTAGACCGATTTCAAGATTGCCAGAGCCGCTTCTTCAGAATTAGCATATAAGTGCAAGATCTGCCCACGTTTTAACTAAAAGTCTAAACAGATTTTAAAACTTCAGAAACTGTTTGAAAGATATCAGTTGGAAATCGTGCTGATTAGTTATTGGTAAAGATCGGCCGGTCCGTCTCTTCGTAACTAATTTCAAAAAAAAAATTTTGTCGGTTTTGATAAAGGTGATGATTACATTCTAAACTATTATGGAAGTGCGATAAGTTGCTTATTTTAAAAATTTACCAAGTTTGATAATACATGGGTGTGCCATGGGGTAACGGTTAAGCGCACTGCCTTCTTTCGACATAATCGTGTATTTGAACTCCCACTCTGGACAACTTGATATCATGCAGTAGTGATATCAATTTTTACTTGAAAAATATAGATAAAAATATGTTTCCAATTGAAAGTAGCCCAATTCGGCACTCTGGTGTAAAATGGCAACGGGAAATCTTTTACACTATTCTTTCCTGAATCGAGTTGAAGTTTAACTCACAATAAGAACCGCTGATAAGAAAGAACGCTCCCTTCATGCTATTGACAAGAGCCTGAAATAATATCTATTATTATTGATTACGGCTTGCTTATGAATAAATAAATAAATAAATAAATAAATATGTGTACAGCGCGCTGCAAAAATGCAAACTTTAATTATTTTTTATGATTAAACCGCTTTTCATAGGCCTCTAATATTTTACCACGGTCAGTTTGGGCATAAAATCTACCATTAACGCAAATTTCAGAAAAATCCCAGGCGAGCAACGCGCGGGTTCTACTTGTCAGCTGCCAACCTGTCCCTGGGGCACAGCACCTATTTTTAACTTCCCTTAGGGCAAGTTATTGTAATCGTCCAAAAATTATCGAAATTGAAAATTTTTGCATTTCTCGACGTTTTGAAGGTTTCTGAACATTTTGGCATACCCCAGAAAAAATGGATGTGTGTGTGTATGTATGTATATGGATACAATTTTTCGTCCACGTTTTCGGGCGCACGAATCAACCGATTTGAATGTTTCAAAAAACATTCGATTCCTATTGATAGGGAGATGTGCTGATTAGTTTTTGGCAAAAGCAGGCCCAGTCGTTTCAGAGATATGGAGCAAAGAGTGCAGAAAATAGAAATTGAGTTTTTGAGAGATCGGAGCATCCGATTTGAATGATCCAAAAAACATTCAATTCGTATTGACGAGGAGGTCCAGGTTCGTATTGGTGGTTAGTTTCTGGCAAATGCAGGTCAAGCGGTTTTGAAGATACACAGCTAAATGTGCAAAAAATGGCAGTTTTTGAGAGAACTAAGCGTCCGATTTAAATGATTCAAAGAACTATCTGCTTGTTTTAACAAAATAATTGATTTTGAAAAAAAAATTTTTGTTCTAAATTTTTTTGTTTCAATTTTTCATTTTTTTTTTAGATATTTTTTTTTTGTATATCGAAAATAATTCAGATTTAATTTTTAATTCTGGCTAAAGTAGTAATATACTTTAAACAAATAATTTCAACTTTGCAATTCAGCTTGTATAATTCTTATAGATATTAGACAATGTTACAATATTTATATTAATCTATTTGAAAACATCTAATATTCCTCGAATTTTTCATTACGTTACGGGAAGTTCCAGCAATTTGTCTTAAGACACGATGCCACACACTCCACTAGTTTATTTTTTAATGGGACATACACCGTGTATGTTCTAATTCTAAGCACGTGTTAATGCAATTATACAGATATTATGAATCTGTTTCAAAGATATCAATTGGAAATCGGAAATCGCTTTGATTAATTTCTAGTGAAAGCTAAAACCTTATTTTTCAACTTCGAAGTAACAGTTGAAGATAGCTATAATTTTATGTAAATAGCTAAATCTCATTTCTTATTGATCATTTCGTTTGTTTAAACATATCGTGCAGCCTTAATCAAAATTGCCTTAAGGCAAAATGCCACTTACACCTATTTGAAAAGTCCCTGCCTTGATAATAGTTATCGCTAAATCAAAGTGCTTTTAAATTAAATATTCTTCATTTCTACTATGAGAAATTGGTATTATTATTTTCTTCATAACTGAAATAATTTATATTATCCGGTATACATCTTCGCAGACAATTATATTGAAAAAATATGCAGATTAGAATGTGTAAACTAATTTGCATTTATCATGTTGACGGCTGTGAAAGTATATGAGAAATGCAACTGGAGCAATCGTAAAATAACATTGTTTTTGTAGGAATAATAAATTGTGCAAACTAGAATGTGCCGTTGTGCCATACAACTATGTAAACAATGAGTAATATAATCGGTATGCAATGTTATTACGTGAAATTTATAATAATATTAGGAGAATAATGAATTTATAAGAAGATATCTAGAGTTATCTATGATGATAAGGGGTCTCTGATCTTATGGCGACAAGGCTTCGGGTTCAACCTGTGGTTGGCTACAGCCTTATATCAAGTAGTTGTTACAGCCAGTGGCGTCGGAACCAAATTTTTGATGGGTGGGCTCGTTTTTTTTTCCGGTTCCGACGCCACTGGTTACAGCTATTTTTATTTGAAAGATAGGTCAAAAATTTGTTTCCCAGTAAAAGTAGCTTTTCTAAGGAATCTTTAGTTAAAAATATTAATTTGAAATTACGTAAAATTAAAATAATAACTAGAAAAGACAACCATTGGGTTATTTTTAACTTCCCGTTAGTGGTTTAACTGTGTTTTTTTTTCGAGAAGGCAGTTTAGTGGCTAACCAATCTTCTTTGGTATTACTTTGTACTATTATATTATGTTAGATAAGTATATCTAATAGTTTGGGTTGTATGTGATGCAGCAATGTCCGGGAAAGGTCATTTTTGCTTGAGATTATTTTTCAAATGTATAACCTTCAAGTGGAAATTTTATATAATTGCTCTTTAATATCAAATCCGGGACCATGTATCTCGATGAGGACTATCGTTTGTTAGTTTTGTGCGACGATTGGCCGAAACGTTTCTTTATAAATAGCAGAAAAGTGAAAATTTTTTAGCACGCAATTATAAATCGATTTTGAAAATTCAAAAACCGTTCGAAAGATATTGGTTGGGAATCGTGCTGATTAGTTTTTGGTGAAGATCGGTCGGGCCGTTTTCTTGTAATAAAGTGTTAAAAAAATTATTTTTTATTAATTCATTATTTATTAATTTTTTTTGACGAGAGATACCATAGTCTTCTA